TGAATATATTTATAATGGCTGCTTTGAAGTTTTTGTCTAAGTCCAATATCCATGCCCTCTGGTAGCTGGAGCTTGTGGTTATTGCTGCTTGCTTATTTTTAGTGACTTGGTTGGAATATTTTATTGAAGTCTATTTCTCCCACGGTGTGAAGCTTCTATGTACCTTAGTGGGTATAGCCTTGGGCATACATATAATTACTCTTCAATGACATTGGTTTTAGCAGGGTTCTTTGATGGTTTCTTCCTCTGATCTCTCTGTTAAGCTTTCTATCTTTCTTGGTATCACAGCCAGATGTTAGGTTCCTCTAATTAGCCAGCTGATTATTTCACTGTTTTCAACAATGTCCTCAGGCATAAATGTACCACAGTCTGATCCAATCAAATTTGGACCCCTTTGCAGAGATCATTTTTAAAGCCAGTCTTTGAGCTTTATTTCTAACCTATCAGGACTCCTCCTAGCTATCTGCATCTCTGGCTTCTCTGGTAAACTATCTGCTTATGGTTTTAGAAAGTCCCATTGGGTTGGAATTTTCTCCCACTCTAGATAGTCATTTCTTTGATGAGAGCTTAAGAGCTCCTGTTACTATGGCTGGCATCCCCCTCTAGGCAAAATCTCTGAGGTATTGCTCTGCAGCTGTGGTGGGGACAGTGGCCCACTTCTGTCAGAGAGACACTTCTACTTTTGAGAAAGGCAATAGGTGGGGCAGTAGCCTCTGGTCTTCTAAGCTTGCCTTTCCCTGTGTGGAACCTCCCCCCCATGAATAAACTGGGGTGAGGGCACTTGAGTCCCCAGTGTTCTCAGCCTTCTGGGAGCAGTCAGACCTCTGGGGCCAGATCTTTGCCCTATGACAAGGGATCCCCCAACTTCATGGTGACATGCGTTTGGAATTTAGGACATGCAACATAGAGCTGAGGGGGATGAGAAATACTGGCCATCTGCCTCTCCTGTGGAGATACTATAGCCCTTGACTAGAGAAGCTGTAGAGATTAGGAGCCCCATCTTCTTGAACACACTCAGCTGAATTGAAGCTTCTGTCATTCTGATGTTGGGGTGAGGGGAGGTAAAAAAATCATGATTCAAGTGTCACAAATTGTTTCTACTGAGATTTAGTATCTTTTCTTGAATAAATGTTTCTTCATTTGCTGACTTGTTCTATAACCTTAGGACAATTTCCAGAGACTTCAAATGCTTTTTTAAAAAATAGTTTTCACTAGTTATGATTTTTCTGCTGGGTATAGTTCTGTGGAGCTCCTCATACCACCATTCTAAAAATTATAATTTCCACTCTGTATTTCTAAAGTACAGAGGTTGTTAGTCAACTAGTGTTACCATATAAATAAATAACTTATATGTCTAAAAATGTACATACCATGATTAAAAACACTTTATTACTAAAAAAAGTGCTAACAATCATTTGAGCCTTCAGTGGTTGTCATCTCTTTGCTGGTAGAGGATCTTGCCCCAATATTGATGGCTGCTGACCAATAAGGGCGGTGGCTGCTGAAGGTTGGGGTGGATGTGGCAATTTCTTAAAGTAAGACAACAATGTAGTTTGCCACATTGACTCTTTCTTGCATGAAAAATTTCTGTTTGGCAGCACTTTACCCATAGTAGAACTTCTTTCAAAATTGGAGCCAATTCTCTTGAACCTTGCTACTGTTTTATCAACTAAGTTTACGTAATATTCTAGATGCTTTGTTGTCATTTCAACAATGTTCACAGCATCTTCACCAATAGCAGATTCCATCTCGAGAAGTCACTTTCTTTGCTCATCCATAAGAAGTAACTCCTCATCCACTGAGTTTTATCATGAGATTGCAGCAGTTCAGTCACATCTTTAGGTTCCACTTCTAATCTAGTTCTCTTGCTATTTCCACCACATCTGTACTTACTTCCCCCACTGAGGTCTTGAACCCCTCAAAGTCATCTGTGAAGATTAGTATCAACTTCTTCCAGACCACTATTAATATTGATATTTTGACCTCCACCCATGAATCACAAATGTTGTGATTTGGCAAAATGTATCAATGGCATCTAGAATGGTGAATCCTTTCCAGAAGATTTTTAATTTACTTAGCCCAGATCCACTAGAGGAATCACTACATACGGCAGCCATAGCCTTAGAAAATGTCTTTCTTAAAAAATAAGATTTGAAAGCCAAAATGACTCCTTGATCCATGGGCTACAGAATGGATATTGTATTAACAGCTGTGAAAACAACTTTAATATTCATTGTACATCTCCATCAGGGCTCTGGATGACCAAAGGCGTTGTCAATGAGCAGTAATATTTTGAAAGGAATCTTTTTTTCTGAACAGTAGGTCTCAACAGTGGACTTAAAATACTCATTAAACCACGCTGTAAACAGATGTGCTGTTGCTCCATTTATAACGCACAGGCAGAGTAGACTTGCCATAATTCTTAAGGGCCCTAGGATTTTCAAAAAGGTAAATGAGCACTGGCTTTAACTTAAAGTCACTAGATGCATTAGCACCTAACAAGAGGTAAGTGAAGGCTTAGGGGATACCTTGCATATTATTTAGTAATTCTCACAGAATGTATCCAGCAGCTCTTCTTTAGGAAATGAGGACATAATCACTAACTGCCTTCAACAGTGGCATTCTTCTTGTCCCAAATAAAACATTCTGGGACAAGAAGAAAAGTATGATTCAATATTCTATTATATGTTAAACTTTGAAGTCAGACATTGATTTCTCTTCTCTAGCTATGAAAGTCCTAGATGGCATATTCTGCCAAAATAGAGCTGTTCCATCTACATTGAAAATTTGTTGTTTAGTGGAGCCCACCTTCATCAATAATCTTACCTGGATCTCCTGGATAACCTGCTACAGCTTCTACATCAGCATTTGCTGCTTCACCTTACACTTTTACATTATGGAGATAGCCTCTTGCCTTAAACCTCATGAACCAACCTCTACTAGCTTTAGGCATTTCTTCTGCAGCTTCCTCACCTCTCTCAGGCTTTGCAGAATTGAAGAGAGTTAGGGTCTTGCTCTGAATTAGGCTTTGGTTTAGGGGAATATTGTGGCTGGTTTGATTTTTCTATCCAGATTACTAAAATTTTTTCTGTATCACCAACAGGGCTGTTCCACTTTATTTTCATTCATGTGTTCATTGGAATGGCACTTTTAATTTCCTTCAAAAACTTTTCCTTTGCATTCACAACTTGGCTAATTTGGCGCAAGAGGACTAGCGTTTGGCCTATCTCAAATTTTGACATGCCTTCCTTACTAAGCTTAATTTTTGATTTAAAGTGAGAAACATGATTCTTGTTTTCACTTGAATATTCAGAGGCCATTGTAAGATTATTAATTAATCTAATTTCAACTTGTGTCTCAGGGAATAGGGAGGTCTGAGAAGAGGAAGAGAGATGAGACGGGGAACGGCTGGTCGGTGGAACAGTCAGAATACACACAACATTTATCAATTAAGTTTGCCGTCTTATATGGATACAGTTTGCGGCACTCTAAAAAAATTACAGTAGGGGCACTCTAAAAAAATTACAGTAGTAATATCAAAGATCACTAATCATAGATTATCATAATATACATAATAATAATACAAATTTTAAAATATCGCAAGAATTACCAAAATGTGACACAGAGACATGCTGTTGGAAAAATGGCACTGAGAAACTTGCTTGGCACAGGGCTGCTATAAACCTTACATTTGTTAAGAAAAAAAAGCAGTATCTGTGAAGTGCAATAAAGCAAAGTGTGCCTACATATTAAAAAATCTATTGAGTAGTAAGAATTAGGCATAGAAAAGAAAGAATTAGATATAAAGCTATATATTAGCTACATGAACAAATAAACTTTTAGAAGATTTTTGTATTCTCCAACTTTTAATTAGTAACTGACTTTATATTTAAAAATGTAATTTTAAATAATTGTTATTTTAAAATAAAGACATTTTAATCATACATTTGAAATCATAGAAGTCTCTTAAAATTATTTCTGAGGTTATTTAAAATTTTATTTTATAAAGTTTTATAACTCAGCTGTTGGAATGTATTGTTTTTTTTCTGAGACAGAATCTTACTCTGTCACCCTAGCTAGAGTACAGTAGAGTCATAGCTCATTACAACCTCAAACTCCTGGGCTCAAGTGATCTGCCTGCCTCAGCCTCCCAAGTATCAAGGGACTATATGTGTGTGCCACCACACCCTGCTAATTTTTTCTATTTTTAGTAGAGACAGGATCTCCCTCTTGCTCAGGCTGGTCTCGAACTCCTAGGCTCAAGTGATCCTCCTGCCTCGATCTCCCGGAGTGCTAGGATTACAGGCATGAACCACCGTGCTCAGCCTGGAATGTATGATTAATTAAACCTTCTTGAGAGATTCTTATTTAATTTTATCATCTCTCCTAAACATATACATACCACCAGCACCACTGCCTGCTCATCCAAACCTTGAACTGGTTTACATTTAATCAAATGTGGAATGCTGTGTGGAATCTAGATATTTCCTCCATGACATTTATATTGACATTCACTCAAAATCAAATTATTAGTATGTGTATATAACCTTAAAAAAAGAACATCACCTAGGAAATTCTATATAAATTACATATTTTCTATTTATGATAAATGCTTTCATTTTAGTAGATATGAAAAAACCTAGGTAAGGATCCAAGCATCTACAATAGCAGCATAGGAAATGATCAGAATAATTATGACACTCCAAATTGATTGCAAAACATTTATTTATTCAATACCTTTAATTAAAGAGTTTCATGCAAAATGCCTTCTCCAAACATATTAGGATGGCTTAACTAAGAATTTGACATCCCATTTAAGAAACTGTGCCAACAACAAAGATAGAGAACTTACTTGCCAATACCTCCTGGTTGTAGCATATATGATTAAAAGGAACAATCCAAAAACTCATTGGGAACTCTTATTCTCCCACCTAACCTTGTTTTAGGTTCTCTAATGTACCTAAAACAAGAACATTATATAGTTTAATTTTTAAACTTACCTGATATAAATAATCTTCAAATACAAAATAATAATCATCATTGCTTGCTGTCAACTTCACATCCTATAATTAAAAGTAGAGAGTACTGAAATGAACCCAAATGAATCTGTTTGTGGTACTAAAGCATAGATACAATATTTAGAAATAATATTGCAATGAATTTATTACTTTATGATTATAAACTTCTCAATTAGATTTTATCACTGCTATATATTTACTTGAGTAATACATGTTACACATTATTTGACCTCAAATTCCACATACTTTTTTAGGCTTCATTAGTAATTCTTTACTATTTATTTCAATTTTATATCCTTTTAATCTAATATTTAAGTATCATAAAGCTGGAAAAGCAAAGTAGATGAAATTATAACATCTGAAAGCAACCACAGCAATCTGCCCTATCTCACTAATCAAGTCCACATTCCTGCCATTCCCTCAAAATACCAAATATCTTTCATGCCTTAGTGATTATTCACTTTCAAGTCACCACTTGCTACTGGGAGGCCAATAACACCAATTTTCTGTATCATAAACTCAACTTTTAAGGGCCAGTTTATTGACTTCCCCTGAATAGTGTATTAGCTCCTTCCTTTAAATATGTCTCCATTCTCACTTTCTGAACTGAGACTACCTTAAAGATTTCTATTCTCACTACAAGACTTTAGGTTCTTTGTGCCCCAATGTCATAATTGCTTTTCATATACTTAGCACCAGCACAATGCCTAGCATCTAATTAGTATCCAATAAGTGTTTGAAGAATAAAAAATAAAAATGATGAAATTATTAACAGAAATTAATTATAGTTTCCTGTGATACACTATATCATTATACAGGTACCTGTCCCCAATAACAAACAAAAAAATGCAAACCAGAAAAATAAACCAAAATATTTGTGTTTCTCCCACAATGTCTCTGAACATTTTGTACAGTGACTTAGAACTTGCTGCTTATGTGCATCAGTGCAAAGAACATGAACATCCCAAGAGATTTAACTAAGATGTGAAATCCAGTTCCGCTGTATGACTTTGGTCAGTAAGTCTGAGACTAGGTCTTCATATTTGTAAATGAGGATACCACCACCTACTTCAGAAAGTATGGGTAAATGCTCGGATAGTATCAGATACAGAATAGGCATCCAGAAAACTATTTTAAAAATTAACTAAAAGCCCCTTTACTTATAGTAGTCTTCATCTATTTATAAGTAAATATAGATCTCGAACCTTATTTGTATCAAAAAACCTAGACCTAAAGGACACCATACTTTTGGACCCAATATATATTCAATTCAACAAATACTGATTGGATGGGATGAAGAACACAATCAAATAATGATTGGATGGGATGAGGGATATGATATTCTGAAGAAGTCTACAATCTCACTAGCAAGAAAACATGCTTAGTGAAAACAGGAAAAATTACAAGGAGATATGACAGAAATCCATAATAATATGGCTCAAACACTCTACAAAATTCAAACAGGCTACTGGGCAAAGTGGCAATCAGGGGAGGATGAGATGAGTTATAGATGACTTTAGGGGTGGTGAATAGTATGCTGAATCCGAATAATGACACAAATTAATGAGACAGAAAGAGGCCGATCGTCTAAGTGAGAAGACAACATGGGCAAAGGCAGAGATCATGCATTCTCAGCAGGGGAGACACTGCCTCTGTGGGAGTGAAAACTGGTTCTTGGGGGCCAAAAAATTTTACATATTACAATGGTATGTGGACCTCTAGAGCTCGTCTCTACCCAACAAAACTTTATTCTCTGTTATTTAATTTTTCTTTTTTTAGAGAGAAACTAAATAATTTTTCTCTTCATGGGTATGATAAAGAAGAAAGATTGAGAAACACGTGTATAAATTGTCAGATCACAGGTAAATGGTAGAAAAATGCAGAGGGTGTGGCTACAGGGCAAGTTTAGGGGGAAAAAAAACAAAACCAACTCAGTTTAGATAGAACCTTAATTTATTAAGTTAGCTTGGGGGGTGCAGTTGGTGATATCCTGTATTTAGTACTGCCTTGTTCCATTCATTCCTTTAACCTTTAACTAAAGTCATTCTACCTTGTTTTCAGTTAGATTTAAAACAAGTCTTTGCCATAGGGAGCTATAATAAAACTTTACATATTTTTAACCAAAATGTTTGTACTCTCATATTTTCCTGAAATAAAAAAAAAAAAATTCTAACTCCTTTAAGTGCTGACTGTAATAATATTTGGAGTTATACCAAGAAGATCAGAAGAGTCCAACACAAGCCAAAAACAACTGGACAGATATCTTCCTAAAAACATTCATGTGCACAAGATTGACTTAATACTCAATTCCTCGGGCACAAACTGTGTACTTTTTTTCTCAAAACAGATTTTCTTCTGACTCAAACAGAAATTCATGTTGGCAACAGAGAACTCTCATAGTAGCACTCACTGCTTTGTTGAGCTTTTTCATTTGTAAGTTTCCTCTCATTTGTATAGAAAGAGGTCAAAGGTCTTACAGGCCAAAAGATCTCTTATGCTTTTGCTAAAATAAACCACTGAACATGATAATTTGACCTCAAAGTTAACAGGAGTTATCTGTGATCCAAATCTCATGTAAAACTTCTGTGAGATTCAAGATTTTTCATCAAAGGACTGTATCCTCTAGATTCTCATTTCTGTTTACTGTTCAGTGCGTAGTGGTTAAGAGTATGGTTCTGAAATCAGATTGCCTGGGACCAAATCTTGACTTTGTTACTTAATGTGTGAATTTAAACAAATGTCTTTAATTTTTCATGTCAGTTCCCTTACCTGTAAAATACTAAAATAACAGTATTTCTGTTTTGCTATAAAACGTGTGGCAATGTGGCTTGTAAGTAGGGGAATGATGTCAGTATAACATGGAAACTGTCTTGGTTCAGGTGCAATTTTTCTTAAGCAAGGGGAGCCACAGCAGTGGGATAGAATTATAACCTTCAGCAGGAGGGTAAAAAGCCTTCAGCTCAGCTGCACATAAGCACGAGCCCAAAGCTGCATTTTAAGAACATTTAAAATGGATGTTGGCCCTGGGGCTCCCTCTCCAAAAGGCACACTCCCAGCCTGGCACACTTTTCAGTTGCTGCACTTCTTGTGCTCACCTTCACAGCAGCCCCACTGGCCCAGAGCACCACTTCTATTTGCATTATTTTAGCATTTCTGTTTTATTATTTTTGTATATTTTTCATGGCTCCTGCCAGAGCAGCCTGCCTAAGCTGTTTAATTCTTCTCCCGAGCTACCAATTATTGTTTTTATTAGTATGCAGGTTACAAAGTTGCAAAAGCCTTGAGTGGGCTTACCGCCAAACCTTTTTTCCCATAAGCTCTGTTATTGTTAATGCATGATTTTGCAGAATGTGAGGTTTTTTTCCCCAGGAAAAAAATGCATTTATCATTCATAGTCTAAATGCTGGTATCTGCTACACTTAGGTAGTTTTCAGGATTAAATAACATCAATGTAAAGGGTTTGGAAAACTTTGGCACATAGCAAGCAGTCATCAAATGTTAGTTATTATTATTACCCTTGGCCATGTTCTACTCAGACAAGTTTTCAGGTCCTCTATGTATTATATTGTTTTCCTCATTTCTGAGACCTGTAATATAGAGACCTCCTCTATCTTTTAAATTTTAAATTTAAAATCTATGTCTTTTAAACAGCCTAATATTAATTTAGAATTAGACATATATTATGCTCAAAGCATCTACAATAGACTCTGAACTTGATTATCAAATACTTGGAGGCAAAACCTCAATGTATCCATATCATAAAACTTGAGATGTACTTTACCATATGTCTAGAAACTGAAAGAAATTAAAAGTTAAAAATAACCTCAATATAATAAGCAGGTAGACTCTAAAGAATCATGAGATAAATAAGGTAAAAATATTACAGTCTGATTTTCTTTTCACTTGCATTTTTGTTTGATTTGTATGGAAAACATGAGTTTATAAAGACAAGAAATGCTTATTCTCTTAATCAAAAAATGGGAGGACTAGGAAAGAATCACGAGGACAGCTTCAAAGGGAAAAAAGATAACACTGAATGCAAACTACAAATTTTGAAGGCTGACCTTAACTTTATATGCATGAATTTAATGATCACTTAAAATTATTTTTCAAGGTTAATAGATATCACTGCACATAGTGCAAGCCCTGCATACTGAATATCAATTTTTAATATTAAAGAAATGGTGAAGACTATGCTTACTTTCACTTACTTTATAAATTAGACTGTCCACCAAAAGGTCATGTTGTATCACATTGGTCTTAAGCTGCTCATAATACAAGATATCCTAAATTTAAAAGTAAAACAAAAAAAGGTTAATCACATTTATAAAGTCAGCCTCAAACTTTAATAAATAATAATCATTAATAGTATTATAAACACTAAGAGAGCAGGAACTCAGTTTTATTCACAACTATATCCTCCATGTCTGGCCAATAGTAGATGCCCAATAAATATACCTATTCCCATCACTTGGAATAACATCTGGCACCTGGTAGATATTTAGTCAAAATTTGCTAAATTATAATTTAACTTTAGTAGCAAATACAGTATTTATTAAGTACTTATAGGTGCAAGGCACTGTTTTACCCACTTTACATGAGTTAACTCAGTTAATCCCATACCAACAAAATGAAATATGTCAGTGACTATTATTCCCATTTACATATGAGAAACTGAGGTCCAGAGAGAAAAGTAACTTGCTACCCCAAGGCCACAAAGCTAATAAGTTATCTGATCCCAGCAAACCTGGCTCTATAACCTATTAAAAAAAAAAACCAGAAGTATTACACTATACTGCCTTTCTAACACCTAAATTATTATTAATACAAAATAAAAAGTTTAACATAACAAATAACCTCTGGTAGTAAAATCAATCATTGCATATAAAAGAAGTCAGCTTTTAATATTAGAATATGGTCCCATAATACTATAAAATCTGATTAACTGCACTATGATGAGATTAGGCTAATGTTTAATATAATAGACAGTAAGAAATGGAAGAGAAGGAAAATGGAAAGGAAAGAACAAGTGAGGAAAGAAAGAAGGTAGAAGAGGAAGGGAGAGAAAGAGAGAAGGGGACTTGAGACTGTAATCAGGTTAAGCACTAGGTTCATAGTTGGACAGGAAATGAAGGATGAAGATAGGGATCAACTGGGCAGTAGCTGCACTGAAACAAGATGGAAATATTAATATTATCTCATTGCTTTAGCTGACCCTTGTATTCCTCTGAATCCTTCCTTTCATCTGTCAGGCACTTTAGCCCTGGCCTCCGCTCCAAAGGCTACCTGGCTCATGGCACACACCAATCTATATACAACTCTTGCTGAAGACATTCCCTCCAACAAGTTGTAGGACAGGTCATCTGGGACAAGGAGGAATATTTATTGTATGAACTAAAATAAAATCTTAAGCCCCCCAGATGACTGAATGGACTTCCCCTTGGTCACGGAGACTCCAGAAAAACCTTAAAGCTGAGATGTCAGCCATTAGGAAAAGGGAGGTCAAATATGCCTTGTCATGCCCTGTGGTCCCTTTTGGAGTTACTCTTTGTTGCAATAATGTACTAAATCATTGACAGGCCTCAGGCCATGCAAAACAAAGCTTAAAACATACCTGCAGGCCATCAATTTACTTAACAAATCACTTGAGTTTTGCTAAATGTCTGGTAGCTTGTCTCTGATTAATAGACATCCTTATACTAAGTTGAAATATTTCAAGTCTTTAGACAAAGCTTCATTTCTCTAACCGAGTACAAATCAAAGAATCTTTAAACCCACCTACAGCCTGTAAGCTCCCCTACCCACATCCTGCCTTTTTGGGCTGAACCAATGTATTCCTTCCATGTGTGATCTTGCGGTAATTTCTGGCTCCATGAATGTATTATATAAAACAAAACTGTAACTCAGTTACTGCAGCCACAGTTTTTCAGAACCTCTTGAAAAAATGTGTTTTGGGTATATATACTCGGCTCAGAATAAACCTCTTTAAATTATTTTAAGGAGTTTGAGTTTTCTTCAGTTAACAATTGTATGTGGCATTCTTGGCAAGATGATATCTGACGCTATGTTTCCTAACATGATTTCTTAATCTTGAAATGTGTTTAATACATAATTCTCTGGTTTGAGTCAAAGTGCTCTTTGCCCTAAAGATGATCTGGGCATTTACTAGCTATTTTCAGTCATTTTAATTTTAATAAAAAAGCTTTAATTAGTTCTCATTGATGTTTCAATTTTTTTTTTTTTTTTGAGACAGAGTCTCACTTTGTTGCCCAGGCTACAGTAAGTGCCGTGGCATCAGCCTAGCTCACAGCAACCTCAAACTCCTGGGCTCAAGCAATCCTACTGTCTCAGCCTCCCAAGTGGCTGGAACTACAGGCATGCGCCATCATGCCCGGCTAATTTTTTCTATATATATTAGTTGGTCAATTAATTTTCTTTCTATTTATAGTAGAGACGGGGTCTCGCTCTTGCTCAGGCTGGTTTCGAACTCCTGACCTCGAGCAATCTGCCCGCCGCGCCTCCCAGAGTGCTAGGATTACAGGCGTGAGCCACCACACCTGGCCGATGTTTCAATTTTTAAACTAAAGCAAAATTATTTTACTGTTTTATTTATCTTCCATTGTATCTATTGAATCTCTCTGGCTAGAATGCATAAGCTAAGGAGTTTAGAAGTTTGCCTCTTTTAAAACATAAAATAAATTTAAAATTATAAACTAACACATGACCATTAAAATAAGTGAAACAATCTAAAGCAAAATAAAGGCAAGTATGTTTTCCCTTCCATTCTACCCTCCTGAAGTTTGAAGTAACTAACATTATTTATATTTTGTATTGTATTTGTGATGTAATTTGTAATTTGTATTCTTCTACACCTTTCTCTTTGCTTACGTAATCACAGTTGGGAGTTGGGGTTGTTTTATTGTTTTATTTTTAGAGATGGTCTGGGGTGCAGTGGCCCAATCATAGCTCACTATAACCTCAAACTCCCAGGCTCAAGTAATCCTCCAGCCTCAGCCTCCTGAGTAGCTGGAACTAAAGGTATGTGCCACCATGCCCAGCAAATTTAAAAATTTTTTTTTAGAGATGAGGTCTCACTATGTCACCCAGGCTGGTCTTGAACTCCCATCCTCAAGCAATCCTCCCACCTCAGCCCCCCAAAGTGTTGGGATTGTAAGCATGAGCCCACACATCTGGCCTCAGTTGTTTTTTAACATGAAATGGAATCATACAATACCCATTATTTAGCTCCCTAGCCTAATGATATATCATAGTTGTGCCTCTATGTTATTAATAATAAGTATAAATTTAACTCATTCTTTGTATTAGCTACATATGGGGTAATACATCTAAAGCTGTGGTATAGTTGTGTTACAATTTATTTAATCATTTGCCTATTGATGAATTCTCAGGTTGTTTCTGTGTGTTTGTTCTTACAATTAATGTGGTAATAAATATCTTTATGCACTATACTTTTATATTTAGGAGATAAATTGGCAAAAGTAGGATTATAGACTGAGGCTGTATATATCTTAAATTGGGCTCCAAATTGCCTGACTACTTTCCAAAAAAAAAAAAAGAAATATCAATTCAAATTCCCACCAGCACCAAAAAAGTACATTTTATCGATATCTTTACCTTTTAAAATATTCATTTGCAATGAAAAAATGGTATTTCATTGTTGTGTTAATTTGCACTTTCCCAGCTAACAATAAAGTTAAAGATCTTTTCATATGTTCACTGGCCATTTGCATTTCCACTTGAATGATTTGCCCTTTACAACATTTACCTATTTTTTTTTAATAGATTATCCCTTAATAATTTGCTGGAATTTGTTTATAAGGAGGATTAACCCTTTGTCATTTATGTTGCAAATACTTTTTCTTCAAAATAACATGTCGTTTGATTTTTGTTTATGTTATTCATTGACAATTTTTAAAAATATGTTACTGCTTTTGGATTTCTTGCTTGCTTTAGGAAGGCTCCCCCAACCCATGTTTATGCAAATATTTTCCTAATTATTTTTCTAAAATTGCTAATTTTTTTCATTTAAATATTTATAATCACTCACAATTTATTCTTGTAGCTGGTTATCAAAAGGTTTATTTTTTTCAGAAGGATGGTCAATTATCAACATCACACAATATGGAAATAACATTCATCAGAAATCAAGCAGGTGGGAGGGGAGAGAAAGGGATGGATAAATTCAGACCTAACAGGTACAATGCACACTATCTGGAGGATAGGCATACTTATAACTTTGACTCAAATGGTACAAAAGCAATTAACATAACCAAAACATTTTAACCCCTAAAATATTCTGAAAAAGAAATTATCAGCAACATTTATTAAATGAACCATACATTTACAATTGAAATAAAATGCTAGATCTATTTATTGACTCATCATTCTTTTTCTCATAATTTATTTGGCTATTTTAGACATTTAATCTCTACAAGAACTTTAAGATAATTCATCCAGTTAAAAATAAAAGTGATTCTCTTACATATGTTTCTCAAAAACTGACAAGTATTTTGATATTAAGCCTTTCCACTCAAGAATATGATTCTGACCTTAGCTATGTGACCATAGGCAAATAAATAAACTTTCTGAGTCTCAGTAAAATTATGATAATAACACCTTTTTGTACATTTGATATGAGGAATAAATGAATTAATACATGTAATATTTGCACAATAGTCTTAAATAAGGGACCTTTAAAAGTTTTTAAGCAGAAAAGCTGAGATGTAATCTTTTAGTTTTAGAAAAAGCAGAGTAGGGAAAAGATTTACAGGAAACAAGGCTGGAGGCAGGAAGACGAAGTAGGAGGTTATTTTAATTTAGGCAAGAAATGATGGCATTGTGAAATGGAGTGGTAGCAATGAGGATATAGAGAAACTGTTGGATTTGAAATATATTTAGTGGTTAAATCAAGAAGGAATTATTGAGTGATATAATATGAGATTCAGATAAAAAGAAAGTTAGGAATGATACCAGGTTTCTGGCTGGAGTACCTTGTTTGACAGTGGTACTGAAAGTGGAATTTTCCTTAGGAAAAGTTTTAACATCTTTAATTTCTGGTGCTTATGAGATATATAAGTGCTTAAGTCCACTAGACTGTTGCGTATGTTTTTGTTCTTGAGACAGGGTCTCACTCTGTCACCCAGGCTGGAGTGCAGTGGCCCGATCATAACTCACTGTAACCTTGAACTCCTGGGCTCAAGCCATCCTCCTCTTTTGGTCTCCCAAGTGCTAGGATTATAGGTGTAAGCCATTGTGTCCAGCCAACAGTTACATCTAAAGCTCAGTAAAGAGAGATCTGGGAAGAAGATACATAGATTTGAGGTAAATGGTAACTGAAGATACAGGAGCTGATGAGATTTACCAAGGAAATAAATGAATGAGAACAGACAGATCATCAAAAACCCTAACTTAAAGGATGAAGAAGATCCTCCACAAATAAAGAATACAAGAGCAGTGTGTCACAAAAGCCAAAGGATATTTCAAAAAGGAACAGTTGATGAGATGAAACACTGCCATGAAGTATAAGAGATAGACGTTTCTTCTATTTAAATAAAAGAAGGATGAAGAAAGAGCAGGTGCCAATGCAATTACGTTTAAAGTTGGGTGGAAGGAATTTGAATGAGTTTCTAATGATGACTTCTCTTTCCTTTGGGTATTGGAAGGGGAAGTCTTTTGCTATGACTCTGAAGAGAAGTTGTTGAGGACAATGGATGTTAGAAACAGGCACCGTGGAGACTAGGCACCAAGAAAATCTAGGCAGGCCAGGCATTGTTGTGGGCTGAGGTAAGATTGTGAGAATCTTATTAAGAAATCACTAAAGAAAATCTTAAATGTTAATACTAGTCTTGGCTATTTTATTGGTAAAAAAGTACCTAAAGCAAAAGTATGGGAAAATTTTATCTTTAATTAGCAAACTGAGATTTATAAAAATTTTAAAAGACAAATATTTACTAAACATGAATATTTTGACATATACCTAGAGATTAGTGAAAAAGAAAATATATAAAAGCAATCCTTTTAAACTTAACACATATTTTCTTAAAAAGAAAAAATCAAAGTAGATAATATTCCATTGAAAGTACTAAATGAATTAACTACCAGGAACTTAAAGTAATATATCCAAAATTTCTGTACTGAAATACAGAGAACGGCTTTATGAATGTAAAATGTGTAATGTTCCATTTATGTCTCTAACTCCTCAACTATGATCACAATTATACGTTCATCTTATTTTATATGACTGAAAAGTAACTGAACAAAAAGTTCTAATCAAGTATTCATAATAAGAAGTATTTTCCCTCCTTCCCACTCTCTTCCTCTCTCTCTCTCTCTCTCTCTAAGTACCACCTACAACAATTATTTTGGAATTGCCATAGTTCATTGAGATCACACTTTTACAGTTGAAATTATGGGTAAATGATGAAAGATGTTTTAATCAATAAAATCAAGATTGTTTTTCTGAAAATATTAAATTGTGGATATTGAATAGACTTCTCAATTTGCATTTAGAAAATTCAGATGGCTACAGCTCAAAAATTCAAGTGTAAAAACCACCTTGGAACATTGAATTAATAATAAACAATCATTATCTGGGATTATTGTTTTATTATAATCTGGGATTATTGTTTTATTATTACCTGGGATTATTAGAATGATATTTCTGGAAACTTTCTAAATTTGTGTTTGAAATGGCAGTAATTCCTCTGCAAAGAGACAGAATTTGTTAATCTAATTCCTGAACAGTGAAGTCAGCAGGTCAACTACAAAGTTAGATCCGGACAAGAGTTACATCTTCTTCTGTAAGAATTGATACACCCACAAAAAATGCTCAACATATACCCAAAACTGTTTTGTAAACTGTTACCTCTAAAATGTCACCACAAAAGATCAGCAATATCATTTGTCTAAATCTGCTCTGAAATAATCACAAGCCTTATTCTTTCAAAAAGGACACAAGTGATTTTTGACAGTACTGTTTACAGGAGATTTAAAATATATCGTATACACACACACACATACATAATTTGCAAGGGTTAGAGGTGCAGTTTATTAATAATGTTTGACTTTCTTAAAAAATTGCCTTTATCTTCCACTGCTCACAAAAAGAAAAAAAAATAAAAAAAATAAAAACAAATAAAAATTTAAAAAATTGCCTTATTATTTGTAATTAATTTATGACATAAATGTGTATAATATATAATTATTATGATTATTACCATAAATAGTGACCGGTTAGGTTCCAGGCACTGTGTTAAAAGACTCATATACATTATATCATTTAATTCTCACAACAGTTATGTGATATAAATATTGCTACCTATATTTCAGTGTGGGTTATAAGGTTCAAGAAATTTAAGTACTTGGTCAGTGATATATTTTTAGTAAGTTGGAGGAGATAGAAGCTGAAACCAGGTCTGTATGATTCTGAAACCCAGGTTTTTATCCATTAGGCTAGAAAACTATTAGTGTGCTATTCATTAAAACCTTTTATGTATAACTTCTATGGTTGATGGGCTTAAGAAAAAAAAAATACCCACTAAGAATATTTTAAGAATAATCAATGTTTTACATAATTTTTCTTTACTGAAAAAAATCTATTAACTATCTGTTGGTGATTTGTCTTCATATACATTTCCTAAAATAAAATGTTCTTATACTTAGAAAAATAATATTTCTAGATAACCTATCAATTTTTAGAACCATAAAAAATGGTACATATTTCAAATGCAACAAAGGATCAAAGAATCCACTTACTTAAACTGAGTTGCCCTTCTTTATTTCTCCCTATTCTAATATCCCAATTCTACCATGTCTTCACTGATTTAAATTGTCAGACTCCACTTCTCATAATATTACTTATTGTTTTGTTTATATAGAAAGTCACACTATTTCATTAATCATAAATAATAAAAACTTCTATATTAAGTATACAGTGATTAAATTATATGTTAAATCTTGTCTTAGAACCCAAAACTACAGTGATTTTGAAAATCAAAAGCAGGGTAAATAATAAACTAAGAAACAAAAGTCTCTCTATTTTCAATAATTGGTTTGAAATTTATCTTTGAAAAATAAATATCAATAGCTCAATTTTGGCCTACCCATTTTTCTTCTTACCTCAGGTTGACTGGAAATATTCAGAATGAGAGCCCACAGTTCAGCTCTCAGTGCAGTGGGACTGCCTTGTCTTACATACTGTTGAGCCGCAGCACTATCTTGTTCTGCTAGAACTGTTAAAAGTATATTAAAATTTCATTAGAAAATTCACAATGCAAGAAATATCACTAAAAATTTTAATTATAAATCTTTTGGGAAACTGACATTTAATTTTTATATCTAACATAATTACATTATATATTGACCTTTTTTACCTTTTGGATTTTGATATTGGCCCTATTTACAGCCCTCCAAATTTCCAGCCTTAAGCTCCTCCACCCCCTTTCCAGCCTGGTAAAAGCTATTTAACACAGGGACCTTGAGATCACTTTGCTTTAACTACAGCTCTATGGACCAGAAACTAATGATGCATATATATAATAATTTTCAGATTCCATGATCAAGCAAAGTAATATCTACAGAAACCCTAAATCTCTTATGCATATTCTACTAAGTCATGAATGTTCTAATATTTGGAGGTAGTATGGTACATGTAGTAACCCGGCTAAGAATCATAATACACAAGAATGCAAGATATCTATTCTATTAAATGACTTCTTAGCTATTTACCAAAATCAACAGAAAAGAGGGATTTTTTTAAGAAATAAAAGCAAAGATTTGATAACCTATTAGGCCAAAATTATTCTTAAGTAGCCAAGTTCACAAAATTAACATATTATCTTTTGCTTTCATTTTCATTTTTATTTTCTTTAAGGAAAATATAAGCTATTCAGTCTGCAAATAAAGGCACCCCCCAAAAATCCCAAATAAAACAAAAATAAAAAAAATACTAGACAACTGCTGCAGTTTGTCTAACAGCACTGTTTTCTTATATTTTCTTCTTAAAAGGGAGGGGGGGAAAGCTTATACTAAATGAAAATTACATAAGCAGAAGAAACAAAATGATCACATGAAATAAAAAAGAGATAAAACATATTCTTTAATTTGCTTCTGTGTTTCATGAAAGTACCAAATCACACAAATGAAATATTCTAAATAATATGCTATAGAAAAATTAAACTAGGAACTTTGGTACAAGACAATACAATTGCCATAGCGGGGGTTCGTTCTGACACAAAGACCTATCTGTACTTCATATTTGAAAGACAAAACAGAATTTATAAATACAAAGAAAAGAATCTTCAAAATATGGGGGAAAATTATTCCCCAGAATGCTAAGAGCTGCTTTTGTTATTAAGCCTTACCATTGTGAACACTCATGGCGAATGTTACAGTTACATTTTCGCCTGATGCAGGAGCATATTCCCATTAACTCTGATGAGAGGTATGTGGGTGCATCAAAGAGAGAACATGCCTCTTTGATTTTAAAATGAAATTCTACTGCTGAATGGATTAATCTAACAACCCTGAAGAATGTGTGTCTGCATTTCGTTTTTAGTGAACAAGCTGTGTACTTCTTTATCTGTATTTACTGATAAAGCCAAAGTGATATATTTTCCCTCTTATAAAGATTCCCATTATATAATCTGCATAGTTAAGTATTACTCCTCTTTAGGTTTTTAGCTTTTCAGAAATTAAATCTCATTTGGCGGTATTGGAAGCAGACATTTAGCTAGGACTATCTCATTTTTCAGAAATTATAATAAATATAATTAAAAGCTTACCTTTCTGCCCAATACGTACATGCTCATTTTCAAAAAGTTCTAAAAATGTTAAAAGAAAATAAAATTACTTAAAAGACACATGTATGATCAGTCACATTTGAACCAACATTAGGTATTTTTTTGTATTATTTTTTTCTGCTATTCTGTTATTTTAATTATTTTTAAAGCTGGATGGCTCTATAGAAAACTATAAGTATTTATTCTATACATAGAAAAATTTTTTCTAAGTTGTTTATGGTATGTAGAAATTAAAAGGGAGTTAAGGTCATTTAATCAGAAGAAAAAATGATGAATTGATTTCTCTTGTTAAAATAAAACAAAATATCTTCTTATAACACAAAAATGTTTCTGTATAATCATCATTAATTTTTTCCTAAAAGAAAAACAAAATTTGTTGACAGCTTCATTTACAAAGTCCTGCTTCCATTTCAATCTACCATTGGATATCTAATAAAAGCATATCTAATAAAAGCCTTATTACTACATAGGTAAAACCTCACTATACAAATGCCATTTTAAAAGACTACATAGGGAGGATTACTTTTTATCAAAGAACTAATCATACTGGGAAAAGACTTATAAACTAGACCATATTAAAATTTAAAAAACTTCTGTTCATCAAAAAACACCAGTAAGAGAGTGAAAGGATAAGTAACAGAGTGGAAGAATATATCTGCAATACGCATAACTGGCAAGGAACTCCTATCCAGAATATACAAAGAACTCCTGGTAGAAAAAGGCAGACAATCATCAGACACAAATAGGCAAAGGAGTTGAACAGGTCCTTCCTAAAGGACCTATATATAAAAAGTTGCTTGACCACATTAGTCATAAGACAAATGCAATTAAAACCATTATGGAAATGCACAACGACCATGATGACTAAAAGAAAACTAACAATTTTAAATGCGAAAGATATGGAGCAAAGTTATCAATATAGCTGGTAGGAATGTAAATTGGTACAACCACTTGGGAAAACTGCTCAAAAATATCTACAAACACTGAACATATGCATATCCTATGACAATTAGCAATTCACTCTCAGGTATATATCCTAATGTGTAAATATGCACACCAAGAGACATGTATGTGATTATACACAGCAGCACTACTGATAATAACCAAATAGTGAAAACAACTCAAGTGACCGTCAATAGTAGACTAGGTAAATAGTGGTACATTCATATAATAGATTACAGTACGGCAATGAGAATGAATAATTTATAATTCTACACAACACTATGGATCTTATAAACAAAAGCAAAAGAAGCCAAACACAAGAGTACATACTGTATGATTCCATTTCTATAAAGTAGAAAAATAGGCAAAACTAATCTTTGATGTCAGAAGTCAAAATAGTAGTACGTGGGTACATGGGGGTGGCAGAGTCTTGATGTGTGCCTAAGGGGGCTTCCAGGATGCTGATAATATTCTCTTTCTTGATCTGGTTGGAGGTTACACTTTCTAAAACTTCACTGATGTGTATACTTATTATTTGTGTAGTTTTCATTATGGATGGTATACTTGTATAAAAGTTATTTAAAAATTAGAGCTCCTTTCCTCTTCTTTCTCCCAACCTGAGAAAGGAGGAGCTGCCTATTGGATTTGTGAGATTCCAACAGCAATTACATAATCTTTTCTAATGAATGGCTAACTGTGGTAAAGGTCATAAATTGACATGTGGCTGTCTCAGTATGTAGAATCTGGGTCCCCTGACAACTTGGTGGCCATCTTGGAATTTGATTTTCTTTTGACAAGAATGCTCAGGCACTTTGAAGTTCTTATCAGGTATGGCTCAGTGGCCTGCTGTTATGAGATAAAGTCATCGAAAGAAGGATACCTGTGCTGGGCCAAGATTCTGAGACTTTTCTAGAAAGCCTGGTCAGTGATGTCCCACTTTAGCCCAGCTAAATATAAAATGGGACTGTATGTCTATTTTCCATTTGTTAATATTTCTTATATGTATATAGCTCTCTTGAAAAGAGGTGAAGGGATGGAGGCTGCTAGGGTAAAGAGGAATGAATAGGCCAGGACCAGAATCTGGGTAATCCAAGGACATCTAAATGCAGATCAAACTGCACCATTGCTCCCAACAATGAATAACAGGAGCAGCCAGTTTTCTATTACCTGAAATACTTTAAAAATCTATCTTTGGCCGGGCATGATGGCTCACACCTATAATCCTAGCACTCTGGGAGGCCAAGGCGGGAGGATTACTCAAGGTCAGGAGTTCAAGACCACCCTGAGCAAGAGTGAGGCCCCCATCTCTACTAAAAATAGAAAGAAATTAGCTGGACAACTAAAAATATATTAAAAAAATTGGCCGAGCATGATGGCACATGCCTGTAGTCCCAGCTACTTGGGAGGCAGAGGCAGGAGAATCACTTGAGCCCAGGGGTTTGAGGTTGCTTTGAGCTAGTCTGATGCCACTGCACTCTAGCCCAGGAAACAGAGCAAGACTCTGTCTCAAAAAAAAAAAAAAAAAATCTATGTTTGACATATAAAATTGCCACACTGAGGCAAAATCATAAGAATCTTCTTAATCAAGGAAAGACTAATATTTGTTTTATAGATATGCAATATAGTTACAAAATAAATATACGAAATTTGTATTATGTATTTGTATTATGTAATTTTTTAAATTTAAAAAATCCATAAAGGTAGTCTTTTACTAAATAGAATATTTGAACCTGAATACCCTATTCTTTTATTCTATTCTTAAAGTCTCAGATATAATTACTGAGCTGACTATACAATGATCAAGGAAAGTGCCTGGGATCCCTGCTATGATAGCTATGATTGCCCAGACTTAGTAACCAAAGACAATGCTCTAGTGAATATATGAGATGGTGAACAGTGACAGTGAACAGCATGAGATAGCAGATGTAATGCTCAGCCTATTAGAGGGGGACTTTTTCAGAGAATGACAAAAAATATATTACAGAGACTGGAGATGGTTTTCATATGAATCCTATAACTGGTTCTTATCAGTAAACTTGATAAGCATATCACAAAATTGGCCCATACCAACCTGACTTTTTTTCATGCTCCTTTACTAAGGACTAACTTTAAATTTCTTTTAAAATTAAAATTATGATCCTTTTATAACCATTTCAATCAATGTAATTTTATACAGGTCAAGAATTTCTTCTCGTAATATGCTAAAAATGTTTTCTATTCATAATTTTCATTGAATAAATAAAGAACAGTTGAATAATCAAGTTAAAAAAGAAGTTGTCAGCCAATTTTGTTTTCTAATAAAAGGTGATGATACCACTGGATGATGATAATGCTTTATTACCAAAAGTAGTATGAAATAAATAATAATCAAAAAGACTGATTTACAGTAACTATTCAATTATGTGAAATACAATAATTTTGCTTTCTACATGCTATTTCCTAGCCCAACAAAAGAAACCCAAAGAAATGTGTTTCACAGAATGTCCTGACCACTATATTAATAAATGCACCTATATTAATAGATCATGCCTAGGGGAAAAAAGTTCTCTGGTGAAATGACTTTGGGAGATGCTAAGCTAAAATAATTTAATTAAGACTTCACAAGTCTTTAAGACAGTAACATACATTATATATCTTAAGAAAGTATATGGCATAACCATATCCAACCCTTACTTGAAAAGATCCTCTTTTTCACAGAGCATCTTATGAATGTTTCATAGAACACACTTCAGGAAATTTGTACCAACTGAAGATGCTTTTTTCTTTTAGAAATAACAAGCTGTAGAAAAGCCTATTTAGCAGAACCTCTATCTAAGAAGATTCATTATCATGCATATTAAAATAATATCAGACATATGACCCTCCCTTATCACAAAGTCTTATAAAGAATGCTGATCCTGCTCACCCTGTTAACATCAGTCTTATACACGGTTTCCACAGTAAGTAGGTGGGGGGTGAGGGGGGTGTATGTGTATATTTAAAATAAATACATATTCATGAAAGTTTATAGAAATAATGGATATAGCTAAAGTTTTTTTTATTATTGCTAAATAAGATTTCAATAGTATAATGATAAGGACTTTTCTCCTGATTTTTACATAAAAATTGATGTTAATAAGTGAGAAATACTCTTCAATATAGTAATTGAATAACTGTAATGATAAAACATGGATAATACAGATGTTAAAAATGAGTAAGAAAACAATTCCTTTAAGTTACACTTAAGCTTAATCCTAAATATAAAACTTGCCTCTAGCCAAACACAAGTACTAGCAATATTTTTAAAGATTAGTATTACTTTTCCAATTTAACCAAAGTCATAGACATAGACTAAAAAATAAAAGTAATAGTGAATTCTAGGCAAAAGTAGTTATATATGACCCCATTCTTCTTTCTCACTAATATTGTTGCTAGCAATTCACAAGCCAGGCAGAAATCCAAGTACTATATCACTAAAAACAACTCCATTGGATAAACACTAATTTGACCCAATATTTAGCAGTCTTGCTTTGAAAAGTAGAGAGAGAAAAATAACTGAACTAAGAGGTTGTCAACCTCCTCCAGCAGACTTAGGTACTCTTTCCTCTGCTCCAACAGCCTCTTATATATAATAATAGCAAATGCCACACAGAATCTTATTTGTCACTTACCAGTATTTGCTTCCCTAAGAGCAGAGATTATGTTTTATATCTATGTATTCACCAGTCCTTGGTCCTCTACAGAGTCTCAAACACATTTGTTTTATTATGAGTGAATCAAAGAAGGAAAATCTATACTCTAGGTTAAGAAATATAGTATATTAAGTTTTCTAAAGCACAGCTACTATAAGATTTATAAAATTTTAAATAATTAAAAATGTTTATCTTAAAAGTATATAATTAAAAGCAAAAAATATAAATATAATTGAAGGTTGTATTATTATTTCTTTTCCTTTACTTATATATGACTATCACTTGCCACAAGTCAAAGTATATTTTATTCTATAAGATATCTTATATCTTCTTATAAAATACCTTCTTTAAAAGGTAGCATAGTATAGCAAACTTTGGAGATAGATTTCTTAGTTTTGAATCCTGGCTCTATCACTAGCTTTGTGACCTTGAGCAAGTTACTTAATATCGCCAATTCTCTGAATTTAAAATGGTGGTAATACCCCTAACTTCACATCATATAAGAAAATTAAAACCATAATGCAATACCACCATACACTACCAGACTAACTAAAACAAAGACAATGAAATACAATAAGCCTTAGCAAGGACATACAGCAACTGTGACTCTCACACATTGTTGTTGGAAACATAAACTGGTACTAGCACTTTTGAAAACTCACTGGCAGTTATCTACTAAAGCTGAACTTACACAAACCCTAAGACCCAGAAAGTGCATTCCCAGGTGCCTACTAAACAGAAGAATACACATATATTAACCAAAAGACACATACTAGAATGATGATAGTAGGCTTATATATACTAGCCCCAAATTTGAAACTTCCCAAATATACATCAACAGTAGAATGGATAAATATGTGTAGGTTATAGGCATACAGTAGAACACTGGAACTATAAATACATACAATATGGCTGAATCTCACAAACATAATTTGAACAGAAGAAGACAAATATCAAAGAGACACATTGCTTTCATTTATATGAAGTTCAAGGATTGGAAAAATTAAGCTATGCTGTTAGAATTCAGAATAGTGACTATCAGGGCTGATAACTAGAATCTATTTAGAACTCAGGAAAATCAGCAAGAAAAAATCAAACAACCCTATCAAAAAATGAGCAAAGGACATGAACAGAAACTTCTCAAAAGAAGACAGAATAATGGCCAACAAACATATGAAAAAGCGTTCAACATCTCTAATCATCAGGGAAATGCAAATCAAAACCACAATGAGATATCACTTAACACCAGTGAGAATGGCCTTTATCAAAAAGTCCCTAAACAACAAATGCTGGCGTGGATGTGGAGAGAGAGGAACACTCCTACACTGCTGGTGGGACTGCAAACTAGTTCAACCTCTGTGGAAAGCAATATGGAGATACCTCAAAGCGATACAAGTAGATCTACCATTTGATCCAGCAATTCCACTACTGGGCATCTACCCAAAAGATCAAAAGTCACTTTATGAAAAAGACACCTGCACTCGAATGTTTATAGCAGCACAATTCACAATTGCAAAGCTATGGAAACAACCCAAGTGCCCATCAATTCATGAATGGATTAATAAAATGTGGTATATGTATACCATGGAATACTACTCAGCTTTAAGAAACAATGGTGATATAGCACCTCTTGTATATTCCTGGATATAGCTGGAACCCATTCTACTAAGTGAATTATCTCAAGAATGGAGAAACCAGCACCACATGTACTCACCAGCAAATTGGTATTAACGGATCAACACCTAAGTGGACATATAGGAGTAACATTTATCGGGTGTGGGGAGGGTGGGAGAGGGGAGGAGGGGAGGGGTATATACAACCAGAACTAGTAAGATGTACAACGTTTAGGGGATGGACATGCTTGAAGCTCTTACTCGAAGGGGTAGGGGGGCATGGGCAATATAAGTAACCTTAACAATTGTACCCCCATAATATGCTAAAATAAAAAAATAAATTAAAAAAAAAAAGAATAGTGACTATCTTTGAAACGAGAGATAAAGTTTGAAAGAAGGTGAGGGGGCTTCTGTTTATTGTTCTGAGTGGCATTTTAATAAGTGTGTTCAATTTCTAAAAATTCATTAGGCTATCCTGTTATGATATATGTGTTTTCTATATATATTATACATGAATAAACGTTTTAAAAATGGTAACAATACATATCTTTATAGAGTTTCTGAGAGGTTAAAATGAGATACATGCAACACATAGTATGTGCTTAATAGCCATTTATCATTACTATTTGTAATAATAACAGCAATTATTATATAATACTACTATCAGAATAACAATAAATGGCCAACTTCCTTATTTTTTAGAGGAAGAAACAAGTCCAAAGATGTATAGTGACTTGTCCAAGTCACAAACCTAGCCAGTGGCAGAGGAGAGACTAGGATAGTCCCCAACCCTTGTCCAGTTTTTTTTCCACTATAATATAGACCTCTCATATGTTAAGTCAATTTTTGCTTCCTTTTTATTATAGCTAAATATCAATCTGGTTCTTTTATGAAAAGTACACTGTATTTATGCACAAAAAGAGAAAAGTTAGGGAAACTGTCTGGATGATTAAAGTTTAAAAGACACTATTTTTAAAGCTTAAAATATTTTTAAAGTCTACTTGAGGTAGCTGCCAGTGCGCAAAAAAAAACGTAGAACTTGGTGATACAAAAATAAAAGCACACAGTAATGGCCAGAAAAGGAAAATATGAGTGTTGCCAATGAAGATTCTGCTAACAAAATAACTTATATATGTCTAGTGACTTTTCAAAATTATTTTAAAGACCTTCAAATAAAAAGACAAAATTAGTCGAACTCTGGTAATTATAACATACAGGATTTTATTCAACAATTAACAGTAACCAAGGAGAGGCAAAAGTATGCTTCGTTTTCAGATATAAAAAGTTGCTAGATTCATTTAGAAATAGCAATAGAAATCTTAAACTCACTCTTATTTATCATTTAGCATTAATTATATGCCATATGAGAGAAATACTAACCAGGAGGCACTTGTGTAGAATCATCTATTCCCAGTTGTCCTGTATTTAAGCCAAGTTCTATAAAGCATTCTTTCTGAAAAATAACATATGCAAAATTAACATAGATCTCATACTTTGCTGCACATTATTAAAAGATCTCCTTCAACTAAATATCAGATGAAATAAAAACCACAATAAAACCAATCTTTCCTTCATTCAAATATTTTAAAAAAGAAAGGACGTATTAGATATATAAATAATAATGCATTAGTCTAAAATTAAGGAGCAGAACAACCATGAGTCTTTTTACTACAGGTATTACTATGTAATATTTATTATTTTCATGGGAAATAACATGTACAAGTGTTTAGGAAAGATTAACATATATAACGGAAAAAGAAACAAACATATAATATTTCTTCAAATGGAAAGGCTTTAATAATATTTTTTCCTCCTAATTTTTCCTACCTCAGAAAAGTTTCACTTTGATATCTTTTGACCAATATGAATGCTGCCATTGTTTAAAACAAAAACCTGCTTTTCAAAAACAGTTCTTGATTTTGCCTTTTTAGGTAACAGACTAATCAGTAAAGTAAGGAATGATAATTATCCTTTTGAGTAAAGAACTAACATTCAAACCTTTCCTGAAACACACACACACACACACACACACACACATTCTTTTTCTCTTTCTGTCACACACACACACAGTATATCATTTATCAATTTTATCTTCTAAAATCATTGTCTAAAATTACCAACATAATCCTGTATCTGTGCTTTCTATGGTACTACACGTCACTCAGCTCTTAATCAACTAAACACTGTAAATATCCAAAACAACTTAAATTAATTTTTAAGTAAAATTGGACTATCAAGTGCTCTGCTAAAATAAGGATAAATTAGATTTATTCTCCAGACTTCCTCTATTTATCTAGTAATGTCTAGGGAAAATAATCACATTTGTCTGGTATTTTTTAAGTATATAAAAACCTCATATTATTCACATTATTTTTATGCCCAAAGTAATTAAATATTTCTATTAATATTTGCCTCAGTATTTTGTTACTAATTCTAATTGCTAAAACTATACTTCCTTCTCCTTAAAAAAATGAAATTAGTTTTAACCTTTCCTAATTATCTATTATTTTAGTTATTAATGTCCCTCACAAGATACTCAGCCTAACAAATACATAAATACATTTAATTTTCGTATTGATTTTAAATAATGATCATATTTCAACTGTTAACTAAACTTGATTTTTATCTGCACTAGAAAAAAACCACTTCATTTTATGTTACTAACTTTTAATGACTAAAGAAGTATAAATTGAAAGTTCTTCCATTTTCAACCACTGTCTTTCATTTATTTTAAGACACTCTTCCTTCACTGAAATCATTAGATTGTTAATGATAATGTATTTCATTGTTTTAATAACCTTGATCTTCATACTACAGAAGGAATTTAGGTCCAAAAAACACTTCAATATCAAGTTCTGTAATCAAAATGGAGAGTTTTATTTATGCTAAGATATGTTAAGGAGTGTAAACAGAACTCTGAACACCCATTTTCCACCTTACTGCTCTGGACTATCTTTTAATCAACATCATCAGATGTGGACCTTAATCTCAGATTTCCTTCAAATCTCTACCCAAGTATCATCCCTTCCAGGAAGTATTCTTTGACTTTACATGCTGAAAGAAGCAACTTTCTATGCACATACATTACCCTTTATCAACCTCTATCCATGCACATAGTCACCTCATATTGAAATTGTCTTTTTATTATCCATCTCTCCCCACTAACCTGTAGTTATCAGAAGACAAGGACTGTCTCTTATACATACTTACACCTCCCCCATCCCTGTACTTGGCATAGTGCCTAACACAGCAGAGGGGTTCAATAAATACTGAACCACACTACTGGGCTCTAATCTCAATCTGCAGCATCCACATGACTAAATTAATAAACAAGAATTAGTCACAACTTCACTTGAGAGTTAATAAATCTCAGTTTTAAGAAATTTCCCTTTAATATGTATGAGTCTACATAACATTGTACCTAGGTTTAAGGACTACCCATTATAGGATAACATGACTCACTGAGCCTCACCAAGTTCAATACTCATACAGACAGACCAGGGTCACAGATAAACTGTTCAGCTGGAGTTGAATCATTAAATTACCAGGCCACATGATACAGGGAAGGCAGTGACAACTATCCCAATGAATGCAGAAGAGAAGGGCCAACCATACTCTTAGCGCATATAGCCACAATTTCTTGAAAATTAGCCATGGGCTTTTGGTTCTCCAATAGCCTTAAAGCTCTAATACATTCACATTGGCTTAGGTCCCTTCAGACAGACAGAACACACACTAGTCCCACTCACACATACGCTGAATCTTTTCCTAAATTATCTTTTGCCTACTTCTTTACCTAGCAAACTCCTTTAAAACCTAGTTCAAATGGAGAAGTACATCTGAGAAGACTTTCCACTACTAGAAGAATCGGCCACTCCCCTTCTGAACAACCACAGCACTTTCTACAAACTTCTACTAACAGGTCTTCTAACACTTTTTTTAAATCAATTCTTATCAAAATTGTAGTAGTAGTGGTTAATAGTGAGATACTGCTTTACTATCTACATGCTTCATATATTGTATTAGTTTCTTACAGCTGCCAGAAAAAAAAAAGTACCACAAACTGGGTGGCTTCAAACAATAGGAATTTATTCTCTTACTTCTGGAGGTTAGATGTCTAAAATCGAGGTGACAGCAAGACATGCTCTCCCTTAAATGCTGTTAGGGACAATCTGTTCCACATTCTTCTTTTAGCTTCTGGTGTTGCCAGCAATCCTTGGTGATTGTTGGCTTGTAGATGCATTACTGCAATCTCTGCCTCCATGGGCATATGGATTCTCCTGGGTAGCTCTCTTGTGTGTCTCTTCTCCTCTTCTTATAAAGATACCAGTCATATTAGGGCCTTCCCTACTTCAGTAAGATCTCATCTTAACCTAATTCCACCTGCAAAGACCTTATTTCCAAAGATGATCACATTCATAGGTACTGGAGGTTAGGATTTCAACATATCTTCTGGGTAGACATAATTCAACCCATATCATATATCTTATTTGATCTACATAATGTTGCTGTAAATTATTATTATCCCTACTTTATAGATGAGAAAACTAAGCCTTAAAGAAGACCAATAACTTGCCCAATGTTACACAGCTAGTAAGTGGCAGAGGCAGAATTTAAACTCAGGCTGGCTGACTTCAGAGTATCATCCCTAACCATCATATGATACTACCTCTACATGTAGCAAATAGTCTGAGAAATCAAATCAGCTAAAAACTTTTAACAATAAAAGTTCCCTATCTTATACACTCCTCCCTAACACACACTCAAACATATAATCATAATTGGCCCTCTACCGAGGAACAATCACTTTAAATTTTTTATCTCTTTTTTCCAAGCGTATATTGCTATTTTTAATTCACCAATTTCAGATATCATCTATTGATTTTTATATGGTAAATGAGGATTTTAGCTATGTATGTTCTCTTACCCTCCTTCCATTATCTCAATATAATTATATATTGATTCTTAATTAAATCCATACTAATAATTTGCATTATTGTGACTACGTAAATATTATTCACCAGTGTGCCATGTGGTATTCATACATATGTTCCTTTCTTATACTTTTTTCCACATTATCATAATTAAACCATTTTTGCATTTATATAATTTTCTCTAATCATTCACCTCCTCTTCCTACACCCTTTAACAACTGTGAAAAGACCCTTCTCCAAATAATTTTGCATGTGGTCAAGCCTGTGAGATCATCCATATTTTGGTGTTTTTCTTGCATGCATTCCTCCTGGAACCTTCCAACCTTCTGCTCCAATCTGGCATTGTTGTGCTCTAGTGCTGCTGCCCTGGAACTTCTCTTCACTGTCATTTCTAGAAATTCTCCTTGTCTTTGGTTGGAATCCTGTTTCCTGGGTTCCATATTTTGCTTTTTATTTATGACCTTGTTTGAAGTATTTCTACCAGCAGTTCTCTGAATAACAGTAAATATTTTAGAGCACGTACATCAGAAAATGTCTACTCCACCTTCACATTTGATTGACTGTTGGTTACATGTAGAATTCTAGGCTTGAAATCATTCAGATTTTTAAAGGCATTACTTCAAAATCTTTTTACTTCCAGTCTTGCTACTGAGAGTCAGATGCCACTCTGATTCCTGACACCCTGTATATACCTTGCTTTTCTTTTACAAAAAGTTTTTAGTTTTCTCGTTTTTAAGTACATTAGTATGGATCTTTCATTCCATGGCATTGGGTACATGCTGAGGCTTTTCATATTGGAGATCCATGTCTTTCAGTTCTTGGAAATTGAATAATTTTATTCCCTCTGTTTTCTGTTTCTGGTACTCTTACTGGTCAGATGTTAGTCTCCCTGGATTGATCTTCTAATTTAAAAAATCTTTTCCCTCCTATTTTTCATCTCTCTAGATTTTTGCTTTATCTTCTGATCAAGATTCCTCACCTTTGTTTTCAACTCTTCTACTGATATTTTTTTGCATACCATATTCTTGATCCAAAAACCCCTTTTTCATTCTCTAATGTTTTGTTATTTTAATGAAATTCTGTTCTTGTTCCATGAGTAATATCTTCTTTTATATTTCTGAGGATATTAATAGTTTCTTTAAAGTCTTATTTTGGAAAGACATTGTTAACGTGTCCAGGTGAAGACAATCTTGGGTTTACCTTCTCCCATCACTGTTGCCCTAAAAATGTACTGGATCACAAAAAATGCTAAGAGGAATGCCAGCTGTATTACTAAGCAATGTATTTACAAAAAATATGACTTTTGATTGGTAAATTACATCTAAAATAGACAACTGTGAATGGACTATAAACTGGGAAACACAAGCCTTAGCTATCTTGTGTGGTGTCTTTTGACAGATCTTAGAAGACATGCTCACATGTATTGCAAGAAATGGCTTCTATTGTGTATGAGACTTCCCCATGTTGTGCCTATGTGACCTTGTCGCTTCCATTTGTATGCATTCCTTGTGATGCTTGTGAAGTAGAATCTGGATGGTTGTAAGAACTCCTAGTGATCCTCTACCTGATAATGGCATGCGGGTATACTGACATGCTGTTTTATGTCCTATATCAGTCTACAAATCTAAGTGAACCTAGTGCCAGGTTATGTTCTATTGTATCCTGTGAAGCGAATACAAATCCAAACCAGAAACACCTATTAGTGGTTATTTCCTAAATTGGCTATTTCTTCTTGTTTTTGTTTGTTTGTTTGGGAGTAGGGTTGGCTTTAGTTTTGGCCTCTGCCTTTCACATTGGAAGAGTTCAAATTTCTGGGGATCCTAGGTTGGTCATTCATGTTTAGGAATGAGGCAATAAAAAACTGACTGGAAGCTCTGTCTGTAAGAACTGGGCATAGAGTGTGGTGGGCTTCCCTGTGAGGCACTTTCATAGCCAGCCAGCTCTCTTTTTTGCAAGGGTTCTCCAAATCCCTATTAGTCTTGTCTCTGGCATTCTACAGTTGGTAGAGAGTAAGGAGGAGAGGGTAGAGGCTGGGGAAGGCACAGTGGAGGTGGAGGGATAAGAGTAGGAGTCTCACTATTCAGCAGGCTTTCACTTAATCCCTCTGTTTTCAATACCTCATACCTGCTCTCTGTCTGAGGTCTCTGAGTGCACAGCTTCTCTGACTCTGTATTTCTAGTGAATATATGTCTTGTCTCCTGTGGGGGAGGAGTCATCAGAGTGTGTGTGGCAATGGGACTCTGGGAGTCTAACTCCTCCTGATACAGACGTCCCCATAATCTCCATTTTCAGACCTGTGGCTCACCACGGCCTTCTGTGACATGCAGTGTCTCCAATTGTAAGCATTTCTAATGTTCTATGTAGAAAATCATCTTGCTTCTTGTATCTGTCAGTGTCTAGTCAAGAAATAGAAACTATGTCAGAAATGTGAACAGGGAAAAATAGAAGAAGCAAACAAAGAAAGCATCTATGATTTCTAGGCTAAAGGAGACTGAACAAAGAAACAAAGAACTCAGAACTCTCTCAGCCCTTAAGGCTGAGATTCAAACCTCTATGGAAAGGCCAGGCTCACACCTGTAATCCTATCACTTTGGGAGGCTGAGGCAGGAGGATCGCTTGAGGCTAGGTATTTGAAAACAGCCCAAGCAAGAGCAAGATGCCGTAACATGTAGACAAAAGGTAGTGAAAAACTTGTCAAAAGAAGCAGGTTATAGGTGGGGCGTGGTGGCTCACGCCTATAATCCTAGCACTCTGGGAGGCCAAGGTGGGCAGATCATTTCAGCTCAGGAGTTTGAGACCAGCCTGAACAAGAGCGGGACCCAGTCTCTACTAAACAAATAGAAAGAAATTAGCTGGACAACTAAAAAATAAAAATAAAAATAAATAAATAAATATATATATATAAATTAGCTGGGCATGGTGGCGCATGCCCGTAGTCCTAGCTACTTGGGAGGCTGAGGCAGCAGGATTGCTTGAGCCCAGAGTTTGAGGTTGCTATGAGCTAGGCTTATGCCACGGTACTCTAACTGGGCAACAAAGTAAGACTCTGTCTCCAAAATAATAATAATAAAATAAAATTTAAAAAGCAGCAGGCTATAGCTGGGCTGCTGAGGGCTGCTGAGGTGAGTGTTACTGAGCCTCCTGCATGCTGATCTGATGGTTCCTACACACAGAAACCACAAGTGAAGCCCCTTCTTCCTGCTATGGCCTCCAGAACCTTCTATTGGCAAACCTAACTAACATCAAGCCAGCTGTCAAAGGAGATATGTTTTTAAGTCCAGCTCTAGTTTTATATAATAAAGGAGAAAGCAAGAGAAGAAGGATTTGGAACTGAAAGATAATTAATTATTGGCACACTTCTCATCCATACTTCCCATCTTCTACAGGTATTTAGGTTTGACCTTCTCCCCTGTTTAAATCATTTATCACAGCCATCTGTCTTAATACAGTAAAGCTCAGAGTTGTAAGTCGCTTCCTAGTTTCACCAAAGACAATATTTACATTTCTGTGCTCTTTACTGTTTTAGGGTCACTTTAAAAAGAAAAAGGAGTCATAATTTCTCAACTCCACCATTAGGAAATCTCCCCACCTTTCATTTTAAAACTGACTTCCTCACCAAAATGTGATGATCTCCAGAGCAAACACAGTCTCTAATTCATTCTTATTTTCCCCATCTTCCTCAGTGACTCACCATGTTATAACCTCCATAAAAGCTGGCTGAATTAAATAAAATGTGCTTTCTTAAAAATAATTTTATAAAACTCACAATTTGTTTCAGTTTTATAGCCATACAGCAGGCACCTGAATCCCAACATGCTATCTCATAAATCTTTTTATGAGATAGCTGTTTATTAAAATGAAGACTAAGCAAAAGCATTTACAGGTCTTCACAAGCTCATTTTTAGTTCTATTAGCAAAACAACTTGTTCTCTATATATACATATTTGAAATGAAAAATAAATGTCACTTTACTAATTTGTATAATAAGTAGGTTACCCTATTGCTTTAGATACATACTGTACTAGAACATTTTTTCTAATGGCTGTCTTCTAAAATATGTTAATTTATTTTAAAATGTCCATACTTACCAATTCAGGGATGTCTTTTACTTTCAGAGGAACTTGGATTAAACCCAAATGAGTCCTGAAACTAAGAGAATCACCATTTTCATAATTTGGGTTGCGAAGATTAATTAATACCTTTAAAAACAAATCCAACAAAACTGATTAGTTTCCTTATAGGATGTTTACACTTACAAAATTAGTAGTGATTTCTTGGTTTATCACCACAAAATTAATAACTATTTGGGATTATGCATATACTTTAATTACATTCTAAAATAGTATAAAATTGTATTCAAATGTTAAAATATAATACCATAAACATGCTTTTAATTAGGATGGTTTTAACATTCCAACTAATATTCTACCAGATAAAACTCTAAAAAGTTAAGAATTTAGTTAGAAATAAAATTTTCTGATGGTTAGAAAAAATAAAACTTTCTTGATTATAATATTTTATAAGAGAAGGTGATAGAAAAAATTGCTTAATTACAATATTTATTAGGAAAAATTTTGCAACCAACTCTAACACATTTAAAAAACAGAAATTGACAAAGGTTTTAGAAAGAAGGCAGAGTAACACTGCAGGGCATCTCATCTAAACCAAATCCACAAGGAAAAAATATTCAGATGCCGAACTAACAAAAAAGACCATTTATATCACTTTTTAAAATAAGCAGATAAAAAACAACTTAGATATTTATATATCATTTAATGTGGGAATCTCACATCTATATGTATGAATATAGAATATAATTCCAAAAAACTAGTTAAATATGTTTGCAAGATAGTGCAGAAAGAATGTTAATGAAGTACTACTTATACTGAAAAAATATGAAACAGCTGAAATATCTCAAGAGGGAATTACTTAAATTATGGCTATTTCATATAATAAAATACAGTTATAACGGGCCTTAATTAATATAGGTAATGACATGAAAAATGTTCACAATATATTATTAGTTTTAAAAGTGTAGTAATGATAGTAGTTATTGCTGTGTGATGATATTATAGGTAATTTTATTTTAAATTTTACTCTCAAGCGTGTTTTCTTAATTTTCTAACAACATGCATTTTTTCTGGAAAAAATAAAAAGAAGTTAATTTTTTTTTTTTTTGAGACAGAGTCTCACTCTGTTGCCTGGGCTAGAGTGCCGTGGCATCAGCCTCACTCACAGCAACCTCAAACTCCTTGGCTCAAGTGATCCTCCTGCCTCAGCCTTCCGAGTAGCTGGGACTACAGGCATGTGCCACCATGCCCAGCTAATTTTTTTTCTATGTATATTTTTTAGTTGGCCAATTAATTTCTTTCTATTTTTGGTAGAGACGGCGTCTCACTCTTGCTTAAGCTGGTCTCAAACTCCTGAGCTCAAACAATCCGCCCACCTCAGTCTCCCAGAGTGCTGGGATTACAGGCATGAGCCACTGTGCCCTGCCAGAACTTAAAAATATTTTTAATTGAAACTCTTGAGGGAAAGAAACTATTAAGAATCCAGTGGAGGAGATTATAATGACAGAAACACTATCATATCTGAAGACAGCATTAATAAACTGATAACTAATGGCAGATAAAATGTAGTGTGCTATAATACCAAAAGAGTTTCCTAAAATTGCAAACACTATATTGAAACTAAAAACATCAATGGTGTTTGTTTTAAAAAATAAAAGATTTAGCAAAGAATCAACAATGTTAAATGTAGACTAATATAGAACAACACAATTTAGTCTAATTACATAAATAAGGGATCATACTGGATGGGAAACTCACAAACAGAAAATAGAAAAAGAAGAAGAAATTGTAAATACATGGGTTAAAAAAAAGAAAATATTAGAAATGTAGAAACTATAACTAAGAAAATAATTATAGAAAATGTTCTTAAATTAAAGGAGAAAATCTCAGAGAGTAATAAAAGGATCAATTCAGCAACTGTCCTCAAGGAAGCAGATTATTATAAGCTACTAAAGAGAAAACATAAAAATCATATGAAATTTCAGCCCTTAAGTGCTACTCAAGGGAAGCATTTGAGAGAAACTTTTAATAAGCTAAGAGAAATAATGCCAATATCATAAAGGTAGTTTCTTACTAATGACTCTTTAAAGTTAAAAGGAAACTATTTATAACTTCAAAAGACCTAAAATATGATAATTTCTATCAAAATTTTACTCTGACAAAATTGGTATCAGAGACAACAGGTTCAGAAAATAGATAACAATAAAATATGAAACATTCATTCATTCATGCACTCATTCATTCTATAAATACTTATTGAGCAGCTATGTGCTAAGCCTTGTTTTACCTGTTGGAGACAGAGCAGTTAAGGTTAGGATTAATTTACAACTGGTTCATGGTAACACTATGCTTAATTCCAGAGATACCTGGAAGTCTGGTAGTGACCCATGGCCAAGATGCGGTGACATATACTAACTAGTCATTTATAATGTGCTACTTAATGTCCAAAATTCCCCTGGAGGCATTCAATGTAGATTTGTTTACATTGTTTATTGAAAATGTACACTTTGGTGGTTTGATTTTGATTTAACCAATGAGAGTATAAAAGACCCCTAAAAAAGTTGTGCCTTGGTTCCCTAGACCTAGATATCTTACATTATCTTGATAGTTATAACTCAGAAATGAAGCACCTCCTGTCCAACTGAGAAAGAGCCCAGGGAGCTCTGCTGGAAGTATAGATCTCCATGTGCTTACATCTGCTTGCTTTCTTTTGCTGAAAGAATGCCTTATGTGGATGTACCCTGTGAAGTCTTGTGAGTGTTATCAGTTATCTGACTCTGTAATAGTTGCAGCAGTGAACAAAACAGAATGAAAAACTCCTGCCCCTGTGCAGATTCCATTGTAATGAAAGAAAGCAGGAATAAGCAAAATGAATTAACAGTACATTAAACACGTAATATAAATGCTGTGGAGAAAAACAAAGGTGAAAAGGGGTATAAGGAGTTCCAAGCAGGAGGACCAGGAAAGGCTTTGCTGAGAAGGTGACATTTAAGCAAAGACATGAAGAGTGAGGGAATGAGCAGGCAGAGAATTGGGTAAAAATCACTGCAAGCAGAGAAAACAAAGAGCAAAGACCCTCTACCTGGGAGGAAGCCAGGGGAAAGCAGGGAGGCTAACGTGGCTGGAGAAGGACAATCGGGAGGAAAAATAATAGGTGACCTCAGAAATAAAGCAGTGTCAAATCAAATGGGGTGTTTTAGGCCACTGTCATGACTGACTTTTAAGTATTACAGAATGACATGGTAAGTCACTGAATACCAAAAGAGTGGCTTATCCTTATTTGCATTTAAAGGCCTCACTCTGGAAGCTGGGCTAAGAACAGATTCTAGGTGGGCAAAAGTAGAAGTAGGAAGACCAGTTAGGAGGCTAATCCAAACAAGAGATGACGGTAGCTTGGACACAGCAGTGGTGGTGATAAAAAGTGGATGGATATATTCTGGATATATTTTGAAGGTAAAGCTGACAGGATTACATGTAAGGTCTAAGACAAAGAGGAGAATAAAAAATAGTTGAATTAAAATAGAGTTCCAAGTACCTACTAAAGAGTTCTACTTGAATGTTTAATATGCCTCTCAAACTAAGCTCTTCATCTCACTAATAGACCTCCTCCTATATTCTCTATCTCAAGGGCAAATAACCTCTGCCCAACACCCAATCTAGATACTTGAAGGCTATCATTATCTTTTCTTTTTCTCATAGTCCCTAAATCTAATCAGTTCCCAAATCCTATTTAAAAATCTCCCTCAAATCTGCCAAATTCTTTCCATTTCCAGTGCTGTTCTTCTTAGTTCAGAACCTCATATGTGTTGCCTGAACTACTGGGGGAAGGGAGAGAGGGCGGAGAATAAAAAAGAAAAAGTTTTCCTGAATATGTGCTAGGAAGCAGGCATGATTTACAGTCACCATTTTTTAATCAAAATCTTCCCAATTGATTTACCTGACCCTAAACTTTCCATATTCCAATATATTTTTCAAGAGCAATTTCCAAATATAGATCTGATCATGTCATTCCACTGCTTCAAAAGCTCTAAGGCTTTTTCCATGGTGATCTCTCTGCATGGAGATATTCTTGCATCATCATTTCTTTCAAATTGTTCCTTCACTAATATTAATACATGTATATTTATTTATCCAATAGAACCTACCTCAAGAAAATCCTTAGGTGCATAAACAGGTCTGAAAAGGCTTAAATCTATAATAAGACAAATTAAAACAAAATTTCAGTTAATAACATTATATGAAGTCTTATTAATAATAAATGTTTCTGATTCTTTCATATGTTGCCACGCAGATAGGTTAATTCAAACATTGCTGAGTATTGATTATTTGTCATATATTATGTTAACTATTGGGACCATAAAAATGAAAAAACAATCTCTCTCCTTAACATACTAGATGACATATTCTAGAAGAAATTGTGAGTATCATATTTATAAATTGTAGTAAATTATTTATAACTGAATTGGCCAATGTCAATGTAATGTAAAGGTTCTACATGAGAATTCTCAAAGTACTTAGAATACGAACAATGCATTCTTAGTGAATTACTCTTGTTGTATTAAACTGGTCTCCCTTTTGAACTCCAATAACCCACTGCTTCCTCTATTATGTCTCTTATTTCCTGACTAGTCCCTCATACATTTTTTTTTAAGCAGTAGTGAATGAGAGGAAAAGAGGGGTTATATACATATCTATCTATACAATTATAGGTATCTATAACATAGTAAATGAAATATAGTCGTTACTCGTAATATATTTATAAATTAACTAGATTTTAAATATTAAAATGAACTAAAATAAATTTTTAAAATCTTGAAACTTATTTTTCAACATTTAACCTATTTTTAACAACTCAATATAAAAAAGCTTATAAAATATTTACCATAATTATAAGTCTCAAAAATCCACTGAATAAATTTAATTTACTCTTTTATAAAAATGTTCTATAATTCTGCTTTAGAAAGAGATAAATGATCTAAATATTCTCAAAATAACAGATAACATACACCAAAATCAGGAATTCTTAAACTGCAAAATAGAAGGTTAAGCAAACAAAACAGATGACAGAAAATTAGTGGGCAGAGATAGTTGCTATCCTTCCAAAAGAATTGTTAATTATGTTATTTTGGATTCATAGGTAAGAAGGCAATTCTTTTTTCACTATTACATTTTTAAAAAGTTCTTCACATACCTGGTTCATCAGTTCCCATTTCATTCCATTTATTAAGAAGTTCTTTTTGTTCTCCAACTGGCCTCTAAAAAAGTTAATTTTAAAATGGGTTTCATTTTTTTGAAGTTTAGCAATGCAGCTAAAAAACAAGAATCAATAACTTATTTAAAGGTTTAAATAAACTGCCATTTAAGGAAAAATAATTTCACTAAACATGGTAAATGTTTTGGGGAATTACACTTAAATCATTATTATTATTTAACTAGTACATTATATCTAGTCTCAATGGCTCAGTTAGAATATGGAGCTAATGAGTCCAAGAAAAAAAAGTAAATGATCTGTACTGGCCAGTAAATGTCACAAAGAAAAACTGCTCCTCAGCCACATACTACATCTCTTACCCCATCCAGAAATCTCAGAAATGCATCACAAGGGGGACTGGCCAAGAGAGTGTGACTGTGAGTCAGTAGCATCATCTTCCTATATGAAAGACAGTATATTACATAATACTACATATTTAGACAGTTTTTCATATAAATTTATCCTTGTTTTACACCATCCTTTAGGTGGCTTCAGAGATTTGTCCTTGGATATTATCCAAAGTATATCCCCTCAATCCTGTCTGACAGCAAAGAATAAATAGTAGATGGGGAGAATGACATGAAAGAAAACTGGCTCTTTACTATTTGTGAGCAGCTATAAAGAATCTAGAACATTTCTCAACCGGTTTTTCTTTCCTTTCCTGTCTCTCCCTCTCAATGCCCAGAGTGACAGACAAATGTTGAATATTAGTTCTAAATAGAATTCCAGCTCTACAGAGATGAAAAATTATTCTTTTTGTTCCCTATGTTAATACTAAAAGATGGTACCATATTGCCTATTACAAGATCATAGGATGTTTGAACACCATCTCTGATTCAAGGAATATGGCTATTGTGCTAATTAGATAAAAAGAAGACTAAATGTAATTAAAATCTTTAAAATGTACTCATAATATTTATAGCCAAATGTCTAAATTTATACTATAAATTCTATATTTCTATTTTCAAAGACATAGTTTGTTACAATAATCATTATAGCACATGTGACAGAAATCTATGTAGAATACACTCACATAATTGGCCTTTTACAGATTTTTATTTTAAAACAAGTTGATACACTAGTTTAAAAAATGTGGCTAACACTTACATAACTGCATGATACTTTCTAGTACTTGATTCGCAATAATATATTTAAACAGAAAGATGTTAAAAATACCTTTCGTGCCAATGGGATACTCAGTTCAGTGCACATACTATTTAAACTCTTCAAAATTCTTTTTTCCCAACTTCCCTGAAACATAAGTAACAATCTATTACTGTTTCTGGGTAACAATACTGAAACTAATAAAAAATACTAAAGATATTATGAGTTATACAGAAATGGTAAAGCTGATTGAGATTGGTTATCCTTATTCATTTGTTCACTCAACAAATATTGATTATTGCCTACTATGTGCCAGATACTATCCTTAGTGCTGTAAAGTAAGCAATGAATAACAGAAAGTCTCAGTCCTCAAAGAATTGACATTTCAGTTGAGGATAGGAATGAAGATAGATAAAGAAATAAATCAAAAGTCATATGATAATAAACATTATATAGAAAAATAGCAGATAATAAAAGGTAAATTACATTCAAGTATTTTATAAATATTTGATACTTAATAAATACTTTATAAATACTTGAATCCCATTAATGGCATAATAAAAAATAAAAATGTACAGAAATTATAATATAATTTTTCCAAGCATAACATTTTACCCTTAAATACTTCAGCATGCATATTCTTAGAATAAAGACCTTCTCCTACATACCACAGTACCATTATCACACTTAAGAAAATTAATAATATTTTATAATATCATATAATATGTAGCCCATATTCAAATTTTTCCAGTTGTCCCCTAAATATCTTTTATAGTATTTCTTTTTAAAATCCAGGATCCATTTGAAATTCATGCATTACATTACATTTGGTTGTTATGTCTCTCTCAGTGCAATTTAATCTAGAATCTCTGTTTTTTTCTTTTTCATCATATTGACTTTTTAATTTATTTAATTATTATTATTATTTTTTTTTTGACACAGAGTCTCACTCTGTTGCCTGGGGTTAGAGTACCATGGCATCAGCCTAGTTCACAGTAACCTCAAACTCCTGGACTCAGGCAATCCTCCTGCCTCAGCCTCCCAAGTAGGTGGGACTACAGGCATGTGCCACCATGCCCGGCTAATTTTCACTATTTTTTAGTAGAGACGGGGTCCCACTTTTGCTCAGGCTGGTCTCAAACTCCTGAGATCAAATGATCCACCCGCCTTGGCCTCCCAGAGTGCTAGGATTACAGGTGTAAGCCACCATACATGGCCTATACTGACTTTTTTGAAGAGTCCAGGCCAGTTATCTTTAGAATGTGTCACAATCTGGATTTGTCCTACTATTTTTCACAGTATTGATTACCTTCTTGTCTACCCTCTCTATTTCTTATAAACTAGAAATTTAAAAATTAATTTTGACAGTTACAGGTTTGATTATCCATATATAACATATTTGAATATACTATTCTTTTTAATTTCAAGCTAAAATGCCATATAATTTTTTTTTTGTAAATATGACTACAGGCCACTTCCAGCTAATTGAAACCAAAATAAAATAATGCCAAAGTTACAAAATTCAGACCTAATGAGGAGAAAAAGAGAAATATATATTACATTACTCATAAGGAACAGTTATAATCAATTAATGAAAGCAGAATAACAGTTCTCTTATATGGGTATTATAAAGATTAAAGATGTTAATGCATGTAAACTGCTTCAAACAGAAGCATAATAGGATAATAATAATCCTTCAATAACTAGTGGCTCTTAATTTATAGCTATCACTATTCATAGCATCTTTAACACACATATTTAAATATATTATTTTCTTTATATAATTAGAATATGCTCTCCATACTCTACTCCCACCCTCAACATTTTTATTTCTACTCTAAATAAATCTTATTCACCTTTTAAAGTGTCAGCTTAAATAGCCCTTCCCCTCCATTAAATATTCTCACCTGGTCCCCCACCCCAGATAGCATTAGGTGCCTTTGCTTATGGGTTCTCACAGCACCCTGTCCTTCACCTACCATGGCACATATCATCACCCTTTGTCTAGACATAATAAATGCTCAATAACTGAACAGATTTCTACTCTTAAGTAATGTTGCAAGTATTTTTAAAAATTTTAATACAATGGCGTAAGCAATGAATAAACAAAAAAATTCATCTGTAGGAGAAATACACAGCTGTATGAAATGTATAAGGTTTAATTTACTAAATATTCAGAAATAGATTTTCAAGAATAAAAGAATACTCTCAATAAATTACATGAAATAGCCCGCAAACTAACTCCATTTAATGGCTTATTTTCAATTATCTTCTTTTACTATAAAAAGATCCAAGACTTATTTGGTATGCCTTATTTGGGGAGCTTGTTAATGATCAAACACTAATTATAACAATACAACCTATCTTTCATCCCCAACATCCCTATGCCTATTTTATTTGGATAAATCTTATTCATGTTTCAGATCTCAGTTTAAATATCATTTCCTCTAATAAGCCTTCTGTTACCTGCTTCCTCTACTCCAAACTGTGAAGGGAACAGGTGAGAAAAAGCTTATTTAACAAACAAACAAACAAAAAACCCTTACTTCTAATTAATCATTATAATAAAAATACAATTTATATAAATACTAAAAATCCAATACCTCAATTTTTATTATTTATTCTATTATATAAGGAACCAAATTGTTAACTATTAAATTATGATTACAAATATTCTCATTTTCAATCACTCATGAAAATGGCTTTAGAATTGATAAAAAGAATAACTCTCAGACATAAAAACAAAATTAAAGTTACAATAGAAACCAATGTGTGGCTCATAACAAACTTGACCTTTGAAAAACAGAGGCTTGGCCTGGCGCGGTGGCTCACGCCTGTAATCCTAACACTCTGGGAGGCCAAGGCGGGAGGATCGCTCAAGGTCAGGAGTTCCAAACCAGCCTGAGCAAGAGCGAGACCCAGTCTCTACTAAAAATAGAAACAAATTAATTGGCCAACTAAAAATATATTGAAAAAATTAGCCAGGCATGGTGGCGCATGCCTGCAGTCCCAGCTACTCAGGAGGCTGAGGCAGGAGGAGTTCAGGAGTTTGAGGTTGCTGTGATGCCACGGCACTCTAGCCCGGGCAACGGAGTGAGACTGTGTCTCAAAAAGAAAAACAGAGGCTTGAACTGTGCAGATCCCCTTATACACAAATTTTTCTTACTAAATATATTGGAAAATTTCTGGGGATTTGCAACAATTTGAAAAAACTCACTGATGAACCATGAAGCCAAAGAAATATACATAAAAAAATTAAAGAACAGTTAGGTATGTCATGAATGCATAAAATATATATAGATACTAGTAGTTCAATTTTATCATTTCCTACCGTAAAATATACATAAATCTATAATAAAAAATTATCAAAATTTACACACACACAGACCATACATAGTGCCATTCAGAGTCAAGAGAAATGTAATCAAATGTAAACATGCAGTATTAAACCATAACTGTAAAATTTAACTGCAGTACATACTGTACTACTATAACTACTGTTCACAGTGACCTCCTACTGTTATTGCAGTGAGCTTGAGCGTTGCCATGATCAGCTTAAAACAACATGTGAAGACCTGGTGCAGTGGTTCACACCTGTAATCCTAGCATTCTGGGAGGCCAAGAGAGGAGGATTGCTCAAGGTCAGGAGTTTGAAACCAGCCTGAGCAAGAGCGAGAACCCATCCTTACTAAAAATAGAAAGAAATTAATTGGCCAACTAAAAATATATACAGAAAAATATGAGCCGGGCATGGTGGCGCATGCCTGCAGTCCCAGCTACTCAGGAGGCTGAGACAGGAGGATCGCCTGAGCCCAGGAGTTTGAGGCTGCTGTGAGCTAGGCTGACACCATGGCACTGTAGCCCGGGCAACAGAGTGAGACTCTGTCTCAAAAAAAAAAAAAAAATCATGTGAAGCTAATCATCTCCACATGAGCAGTTCGTCTCTCCAATAAATTGCATGTTATAGTAAAAAGTGATCTCTAGTAGTTTTCATGTATTTTTCATCATGTTAGGTGCCATACTGTAAACCCTGAATCACCATGGGACCCACACAATGTGCCAGTAGTGATGCTGGAAGTGCTCCAAAGAATCGAAGTCATGACATTACAAGAGAAAGTTGAATTGCTTGATGAGTACCACAGATGGATGTCTGAAGCTGTGGCTGCCGGCCATTTCAAGACAAATGAATCCAGCCTAAGGACCATTGTAGAAAAAAGAAAAGGAAATTCATGAACCCACTGATGTATCGGTGCCAGAAGGCATGAAAACCCTGCACTTTTTGTGAAGTACCTTTTTATCTAGTACTGAAAATGCAGCTTTTATGTGGGCGTAGGATTGCTATGAGAAAAAGGCATATCAATAGACTCTAACATGATTCAAGAAAAAGCAAAGTCATTATATGACAATTTAAAGCAAAAGGAAGGAAGGATCTAAAGCTGGAAAATTCAGTGCCACCAAAAGATGGTTAAATAATTTTAGAAAGAGGTTTGGCTTAAAAAATGTCAAGATAGCAGGAGAAACAGCTTGTGCCAACAAACAGGCTGTAGACAACTTCCCAGACGCCATTAAGAAAATCATGCCGCAAAGGACATTTATTAGTAAGGAAGGGAAGTAAGTACTAGGATTTAAGGCAAGAAGGGACAGGATAGGGTAACTCTACTGTTTTGTGCAAGTGCAAGTGGGTCTATGATCAGGACTGCCCCTATCTATAAAGCTGCTAACCCCTGACCCTTGAAGGGAAAAAATAAACACCAGCTGCCAGCTAGTCTTTTGGTTGTACAGCAAGAAGGTCTGGACAATGAGAACTCTTTTTCTGGATCAGTTCCATCAATGTTTTGTCCCTGAAGTCAGGAAGTACCTTGCTAGTAAAAGACTGCCTTTTAAAGTTCTTTTGATATTGGATAATGCCTCTGGCCACCCAGAACCCCATTAGTCCAACACTGAAAGCACTAAAGTGGTCTACTTGCCCCTAAACACAATGTCTCTAATTCAGCCTCTAGATCAGTATGTGATAAGGACCTTTAAGGCTCATTACACATGGTATTCTGTGGAAAGGATTGTCAACAGTATGGAAAAGAACCCCAAAATAGAGAACACCATCAAAGTCTAGAAGGATCACACCACTGAAGATGCCATTGTTGTTATCG